TTCGGTGAATTTAAAAACGTACGTTACAAAGAGCGATGCTTGTTTAGTAAAAAAAAAGTTACAGCCTATATACGTCCCACTGCTGGGCACAGGCCTCCCCTCATTTCTGAGAGGGTTTTAGGGCATAGAAGTGTCCACCGCGCTGCCCCAATGCGTGTTGGCGAACTTCACATGTCCTCGAAATATTTTTTTATTATTCCTCAGACATGCAGGTTTCATGACGATGTTTTCCTTCACCGCCGAGCACGTGGTAAGTCAGCACTTAAATTTGCAATTAACAATTTCATTGGTGCCGGCGGGGATCGAACCCGGGGTACTCGCGTTCTGTTATGTTTACAGCGAGCGTTAAGGCTTTTACATTTGAAATAATACTAGTTTTTACGGAATTTATCGCGTATATTTTAACTTTTTAAATACCCGACGTTTCGAACGCTTTACAGCACTCATGGTCACGGGCAGGACTGAGATGTTCAACGTCCATATGTCATAGTTAACCGCGGTTACCATAGATTAAAATTTAACTTTTGTTCCGATCTATGCAGTATGAACTTATGGTATCTTGAAGTCTTGAAATTAGGATGTTTTTTGATTTCAATAGCCTCGCGAATCATCCTTGGAAGGAATCGGTGTTCTTTAGCGAGGATCTGCGGTCTATCAAATCTGATGTAGTGACGGGGGCGATCCTGTATGTGTTCACAGACTGCAGACTTCCCGGAGCGTCGATTCTTCACATCAGCTATATGTTCTTTTACATTGCTCAAATCGTGAAAAACACCCAGGTTTACAAAAAGTTATAGCCGAATCCTTTTGTTTATTTGCTACAAAAAAATTAGGTCTTATAGTTTAGATCGTCATAATTTATTTATATTGTTTAAAATTTTTGAATATTTGACCATTATTACAAAAAAAAAATCAAAGACAAAGGCTGTTTTAAACCTATTTTGTATTTTTCCTCAAGAACGGTCCAATAGTTTAAGATTAAATTTTTATTAAAATATTTGTTAAATCATAATAAAAAAATGTATTGTTTTTATTGAAGTTTTGTTAAATATATTTCTTAAAATATAGTAAAATATAATTTGGCCCCTTTCCGCCACCCGAAGCTCCCCCGCTATGGCCCATTACGGACAGTGATGCCAACTTAGCAACTTTATAGCTAGATCTAGCTATTATTTGGTGACAGACAGCTACAATTTAATAAATCTTGTAGCTAAACTTTTTAGCTACTTTTTTCTAGCAACTTTTCATTTCATCATGAGACGTGAGTCTATCGAAATTCGTCGAGTAGTGTGCCGAGTCGAAAGAAAAAAAAGTCTATGGTCATAGATGCTATGGTAAGAACAGCTCGACGCTGGCCGGGAATTCCTCGTTTCCTCTGCGACAGAATACTTAGTAAACTGAAATAGTACGCGCTATTCGTATACTACCTTGTGTTGTTTTGTTTTATCCATATAAAACTAATTTCATTTAATTCGAAAATGGATTTACCTTTGAAAAAAGAAAACCTACGCACAAAAATACAGACCGGAGTGGGAAAATATGGACGAATTTAAAGGTTGGCTAAAACCGGCAAGTGGAGACTCAAGCAAAACATTTTGTACATATTGTTCTACGGAGATTCTTGCTAAACTTTTTGATATAAAGGAGCTTGCTGAGACCAAAAAGCATAAATAGAAAGTAGAGTTCAAAACAGGTACGTGAATGAATTTAAAATTCGTTTTGTTGATATCAGACTCTATCGATGGGAAAAATGAGTTTGATATTTTTATTTTACCAATTTTTAGGGTCAAATTACATATTGCGTCTAGGGTCCTTATGTATATTAATTTTGTCTTTACAGGCAATAAAGAAATTCCTTTCAAAGTTGTACCAAAAGACCATTTATTTAGACCTTGCGATGAATCTGAAGGCGCATTGACCTTATTTATTGCCGAGCACTGTTCTATATTAAGTGTTGACCATTTAGGTGAACTATGCAAAATGTGTTTCAAAGACTCCAAAGCTACACAGGAGCTTAAATTGCATCACACTAAATGTACAGAAATAATGAAAAATGTGCTGATGCCACACTTTCGCTAGGAGCTCTTAGATGATATTGGAAATCAAAAGTTCAGCATTATAATGGATGAGTCCACAGACGTTAGTGTCAGTAAACACCTTGGTCTTGTAATTAGGTATTATAGTGCCGCACAGGAAAGGATAGTAAGCTCATTCCTGGAACTAGTTTCTATTGAGAGTGCAGATGCTAGGGGAATCGTTAATGGCTTGGTATCATGCTTAGAGAGTCACAACTTAGATATCAAACAAATGATTGGAATTGGAACTGATAATGCATCTGTTATGACAAGCATTAATAACGGGGTTCATGCAATCCTAAAAAGAGTATATGGTATAGAAAATTTGATAATGATACGATGTTGTCTGCCACTCATTGCAGTTACCCATGCCTCCGAAAATACTCTGCCAAGAAATTTAGAGTTAGTCCGTTGAAAATCACCAAGGTGTGCGATACACGTTGGCTTTCAATAGAGCCAGCGATAACAAAAATTGTGACACAATGGGAAGAATTGAAAATACATTTTAATATAGCAAGAGTGAAAGACAATTGCTACTCAGCTGAGCTTATTTACGACATGCTCGAAGACAAAATAAATTATTTATATTTTGTGTTACTGAGAAGCGGTTGAAATAATGTTCAAACAGCAATTAAATCATTTGAAAGTGAAAACTCTAATCCATTAAAACTTCTCAATACACTCACAACACTGATAGAATCAGTGAGCCAGAGAACTTTAATGCGAAAACCTGTAAACAGAAACTTATTAGATCCAATAACTGCCAGGGATATTAACCCTTGGCCTTATCTTGGCTACATGTTTGAAACTGCTCAACATAATTTAGACTCCGAAATTTTAAGCAATACGACAACGCTGCTCCGCCTTCTTACTGCAATTACGTAAGTAATTGTAACAAAGGCTTCAGACAACTACAAACAGCTAGAATCAATGGCGTTGCTAAGTTCAGAGGCAATAAAACCAATCAAATCAAACACTATCATCGACGTTGCTGAAATTTTGGGATTTACACCAGAAATAATACATATTACTAATAATAAATAATACATATTATTATACATTCTACATATAAATAAATGGCATTCTGAAGAAATAGTTCAGTTTTGGGTCGAAGTAAAAAAAATTTAGAAATTCTTCCGGTGACAACATATATCAAGATATAAGTACTCTTGCTTTAAATTGCCTTTCACTGCTACATTCTAATGCAGAGGTAGAAAGGTTATTCTCTCAAATGAATTTAGTTAAAAATAAGCAAAGAAACAGAATGAGTTTGAAAACTCTGAACTCAATCCTCTGCATTAGAGATTCCCTCAGAAAAAGTGGTAAATGCTGCTATAACGGTGTTTTGCCTAAAGACGTACTGCATAAAATGGGCACCGTTGAAAAATATTCGAAATCAATGGAAGATTCTGAACCCCAGCCATCGACATCTTCCTCTTTAATTGATTAATTTATTTTTTATTTTTTATTCAATTGCGTACACAGGACTTAATTTAAGTTCTCGTTGGTATTAATGAATAAAAATGATTATCAGAAACTGGCATTTTATTTTAACCTACTTATCTACTGTAAAATTTAGCAACTTCTAGCAAAATTTTAGGGTAAAAAAAAACTGGAAATCTAGCAAAATTTTGAAAATATCTAGCTACTGGGTAAAGCTAGCAGTTGGTGACAGTGATTACGGATATTCACCTTCACCAGTGTCAGTTCGACTCTTGCGACGGGTGGACTGTAAAACTAATTTCTCAATATTTCAAATTTATAAAAACAGATTTTTGTAAATAAAACGTACATTAGTAATATATGATAAAAAATTAGGAATTAACTTGATTTATGTAAATCATTGAGTTATAATGTACTACGTACTAGAGAAGCTATTCCAAACAAAAATTGTGCGCTACTTCTATGTCTTCGCGCATGCGCGGTAATAGTAGAGTCGCGCATGCGCAGTTGCTATAAACGCGCTTTGCGCTTGCGCGGTCAGTTTTTGTTATTATAGATTATACGTAAGTAGAATGGTCAGTATGTAATAATTGTTTATTTATATTGTATTGTTAATTATATCGAGTACTTACAATTTTTTAAATTGTTTTTTATTTTGTATATGTGCTAATTTAATATAATATTACATAATATTATGTCAGCATTACATTTTGATGATATTGTTATCTGAATATTTTAAAAGGTATCTATGTCAAATATAAAAGAACGTACTAAATGTATGTTTAACAAAACTTATTAACATAAAATTTAAATTACAAATATATTTATTTAAATTAGAATCATAAATGTTGTAAATAATCGTTCATAAATGCTGGGCACGCGAGAGTTAAAAATGGACGAATTTATTCCACTTTGACTTTGAAGTGGAAACCTAAAAATAAAATAAAAGAATAATAAGCAGATTTAAACATGAAAAATTTAGCTTAATTATAATAACTTATATGTTTCTACAAAAAAAATGTGTAGTATAATAATATATTCGTCCTAAACTTAAGTACCCACAGAAATGTCGCATCTGAACATATTAATTTCATAATCTATATTCAATGATACGAGATGGCGTCTTAGGAATAATTTGCTTTATTATTAATTTATAACACTTTTTTATTGAATAAGTATCTTATTAACCGATGAAAAGTAATTCCTTGGTTTTTACTGACATTTCTTGAATTATTTGTGCAATATCTAAGTACACAAGACGGCATATTTTTATCAAGAGATTTTTTTTAAATCAACACAACACGTGACAACTCTACAAGCGCCTAGCGAGTGACTGATTAAAGTGCAGTGCATGCACCGCAGTTGAGTGGAACAGAGTAGCTGAATGCAGTGTCTCCTCTAGTACGTAGTACATAATAGCTCAATGATGTAAATATAATTATTTTTGGTTTTAGTTTTGTATATAATCGTATCATAGAATAGACTAAGCTTGACAATGCCGAAATACAAAAGCAAGTCAAAAGTGAAGCGGGGCCAAGCTCTTATAAACTATTGGTAAGTAAATTATCCTTATTTATTTTCTTTTGCGTAAATACTTATACAGAGTATGGCAGCGTTCCGAAAATTGTCGTGTTCCCTTCTATTGTATAGGTGGGGAACTTTTTTAGCCGCAAATAAGCTGATACTACAAAAACGTCTAGTGGAAAAAATATAAAATAATATGAACGTAACCATTTTTGGCTGGTCTGATGCTACAGTCCTGCACTCCAAAGGTGGGTACAGGATCTCAGTGGCGGAACCACGTAGTGCCATCGTGTTTGTACTCATTTTAAAGGGCTCGCAGCTACCTAGCTATCTGTGATGATTTCACTTACCTGATGCTGCACTCCGAAGTAGTCCGAAGGTGGGTACAGGATCTCAGTGGCGGAACCACGTAGTACCATCGTGTTTGTACTCATTTTAAAGGGATCGCAGCTACCTAGCTATCTTTGATGATTACATTTACCTGATGCTGCACTCTGAAGTAGTCCGATGGTGGGTACAGGATCTTAGTGGCGTAACCACGTAGTACCATCGTGTTTGTACTCATTTTAAAGGGCTCGCAGCTACCTAGCTGTCTGTGATGATTTCATTTACCTAATGCTGCACTCCAAAGTAGTCCGAAGGTGGGTACAGGATCTTAGTGACGGAACCACGTAGAACCATCGTGTTTGTACTCATTTTAAAGGGCTCGCAGTTACCTAGCTGTCTGTGATGATTTCACTTACCTGATGCTGCACTCCGAAGTAGTCCGAAGGTGGGTACAGGATCTCAGTGGCGGAACCACGTAGTACCATCGTGTTTGTACTCATTTTAAAGGGCTCGCAGCTACCTAGCTATCTTTGATGATTACATTTACCTGATGCTGCACTCCGAAGTAGTCCGATGGTGGGTACAGGATCTTAGTGGCGTAACCACGTAGTACCATCGTGTTTGTACTCATTTTAAAGGGCTCGCAGCTACCTAGCTGTCTGTGATGATTTCATTTACCTAATGCTGCACTCCAAAGTAGTCCGAAGGTAGGTACAGGATCTTAGTGACGGAACCACGTAGAACCATCGTGTTTGTACTCATTTTAAAGGGCTCGCAGTTACCTAGCTGTCTGTGATGATTTCACTTACCTGATGCTGCACTCCGAAGTAGTCCGAAGGTGGGTACAGGATCTCAGTGACGGAACCACGTATAACCATCGTGTATGTACTCATTTTAAAGAGCTCGCAGTTACCTGGCTGTCTGTGATGATTTCACTTACCTTTTGTGAAATTGCTCTTATTGTACTCTTTTGTTGAGAGTGACTGTTGTGATAATATTTCTAATGTAACTTTATGTTTTTAGGCAATTGAGAAATCAGCGGAAATTCCATTTTGAAAATCTGGGCAAAAAATCCGTCAACTGAATCTAATGCATTACATTCGTCTACGATTATTGTAGAAACTCACGTTCTGTTCGGTATGGCAGTTGATGAGGAGACTTCGTCGCCAGATATTACAGTAGCTAATTTTTACAATTAAGAGTGCCAGCCTATTTTTAATATTGTTAAATTGAACTTTGACTCCTGGTTCCCCATTGCGCATTAATAACTATTCGTTTTTGGTAAATAAAAACATATTGAGGAAACCGACAAGTCTGAGAACCCATAAAATTTGAGAAATGCTATCCTATATGGCCAATAAAAATAAACAAGATAATATTATATACGGAAGTTTTTTTGTATATGAATTTAGCAATGTATTACATGATAATTATTTTGTTCTCAGCATCAACAAGATGACATTTTACCGGATGTAACTATTGAAAAGAATCAACCTGAAACAGAAAAAAGAAATATATGTAGCAGGCGAATTGTTGATATTAAATACTTTTTTCAAAATTGCAAGTAATCAACAATCATAGACCATATAACTGTGGAGTACAAAGTTTAAAAATTGTTGGAGAGAAACGAGTTGGATTGTCATCCAAGTTTACTCTAGAATGTTTAATGTCTAAAGGAAAGTTTTTATTAAATAATATCCCAGGTGATCTGGAAAAAATACAGAATCAATCGCTGGTGCATCGATGTGTAAAAAAAAGTGTATTTTAAATGTCTCCGGTGATCTGCACATACATACAGCTGTGGTTGCCCGTGCAGTTTCTGTTGGTATAGGCTACTCAAAATTAGATGAATTACTATCAGCGATCGATTTACCTTTGATCACTAAGCTTCTGTACCAAAAATAGCACAAGTTTGTTTCTAACGCCATGCAAGAAGCCGCAGAATAAGAAAAAAGGATTACTTTAGAAAAAATTCGTGTAACCACTGATGTTATTGCTGATGGATGCGGGAGAGAGGTAATTTAGAGATAAATATAAATCATAACTGGTTCTACCAGGTACAAGGGCAGTTGCACGTGACTCGCAAAGCTAAATGTGTATTAGCTGTATGTTTCAGTGAGTCGCAACCACTGAAAACGGAAGTTATTTATAGGGATGATGATGAAAACAAATTGAAGTCAAAATTATGCAATTTTTATTTAAATTGTATATTGCCTGAAATTTTAAACCCAAGACATACTAGAAATATGGAAATACGTAATCCAATCTACATAATTGAATTCATAAAAAAAAGAGAAAAAAAACTTGAAATCTCCAAGAGGAAAATACAACGCATAATTTCAATTGCTGAGCAGGAAGAAAATACAACACTTTCCTTATATCAAGAATCGACACGGTCGTCAACACCAGTAATTCCAGAAGCGGAAAAACCAACCTGTTCACGATGCTAAGATTATAATGAATTTTAACTTGCAAAAAATATTTATATCACGTAGCAGCGTTTGTGCTGAATATGAGAGTTTCTGAAAACTAAATCTTCCTAACCATTTCCATTGCTGAGAACCACTTGGTACTTACGTGGTCATCCATATACCTTCAAAAAGTGTCACGTATACAAAACCCGTGCCGAATATGAGAGTTTCTGAAAACTAAATCTTCCTAACCATTTCCATTTCTAAGGACCACTTGGTACTTACCTGGTCATCCACATACCTTCTCAATGTGTCACGTGTACAGAATCCGTGCTGAACATGAGAATTTCTAAAAACTAAATCTTCCTAACCATTTACATTGCTAAGAACCACCTGGTACTTACCTGGTCGTCCACATACCTTCAAAAATGTCACATAGGAACGTCCGTGCTGAATATGAGAGTTTCTGAAAACTAAAACTTCCTAACCATTTCCATTGCTGAGAACCACTAAGGTTCTTACCTGGTCATCCACATACCTTCACAAAGTGACTCGTAGCAACGTCCGTGCCAAATATGAGAGTTTCTGAAAACTAAATCTTCCTAACCATTTCTATTACTAAGGACCACTTGGTACTTACCTGGTCACCCACATACCTTCACAATGTGTCACGTAAACAGATTCCGTGCTGAACATGAGAGTTTCTGAAAACTAAATCTTCCTAACCATTTACATTGCTAAGAACCACCTGGTACTTACCTGGTCATCCACATACCTTCACAAATGTCACATAGGAACGTCTGTGCTGAATATGAGAGTTTCTGAAAACTAAAACTTCCTAACCATTTCGATTGCTGAGAACCACTAAGGTTCTTACCTGGTCATCAACATACATTCACAAAGTATCACGTAGCAACGTCCGTGCTGAATATAAGAGTTTCTGAAAACTAAATCTTCATAACCATTTCCATTGCTGAGAACCACTAGGTTCTTACCAGGTCATCCACATACCTTCACAAAGTGTCACATAGGAACGCCCGTGCTGAATATGAGAGTTTCTGAAAACTAAATCTTCCTAACCATTTCCATTGCTGAGAACCACTAGGCTCTTACCTGGTCATCGACATACTTTCACAAAGTGTCACGTAGTAACGTCCGTGCTGAATATGAGAGTTTCTGAAAACTAAAACTTCCTAACCATTTCCATTGCTGAGAGCCACTAAGGTTCTTACCTGGTCATCCACATACCTTCACAAAGTGTCACGTAGCAACGCCCGTGCTGAATATGAGAGTCTCTGAAACTAAAACTTCCTAACCATTTCCATTGCTGAGAACCACTAAGGTTCTTACCTGGTCATCCACATACCTTCACAAAGTGACTCGTAGCAACGTCCGTGCCAAATATGAGAGTTTCTGAAAATTAAATCTTCCTAACCATTTCTATTACTAAGGACCACTTGGTACTTACCTGGTCACCCACATACCTTCACAATGTGTCACGTAAACAGATTCCGTGCTGAACATGAGAGTTTCTGAAAACTAAATCTTCCTAACCATTTACATTGCTAAGAACCACCTGGTACTTACCTGGCCATCCACATACCTTCACAAATGTCACATAGGAACGTCCGTGCTGAATATGAGAGTTTCTGAAAACTAAAACTTCCTAACCATTTCCATTGCTGAGAACCACTAAGGTTCTTACCTGGTCATCCACATACCTTCACAAAGTGTCACGTAGCAACGTCCGTGCTGAATATGAGAGTTTCTGAAAACTAAATCTTCATAACCATTTCCATTGCTGAGAACCACTAGGTTCTTACCAGGTCATCCACATACCTTCACAAAGTGTCACATAGGAACGCCCGTGCTGAATATGAGAGTTTCTGAAAACTAAATCTTCCTAACCATTTCCATTGCTGAGAACCACTAGGCTCTTACCTGGTCATCGACATACTTTCACAAAGTGTCACGTAGTAACGTCCGTGCTGAATATGAGAGTTTCTGAAAACTAAAACTTCCTAACCATTTCCATTGCTGAGAGCCACTAAGGTTCTTACCTGGTCATCCACATACCTTCACAAAGTGTCACGTAGCAACGCCCGTGCTGAATATGAGAGTCTCTGAAACTAAAACTTCCTAACCATTTCCATTGCTGAGAACCACTAAGGTTCTTACCTGGTCAACCACATACCTTCACAAAGTGTCACGTAGGAACGCCCGTGCTGAAAATGAGAGTTTCTGAAACTAAATCTTCCTAACCATTTCCATTGCTGAGAACCACTAAGGCTCTTACCTGGTCATCCACATACCTTCACAAAGTGTCACGTAGGAACGTCCGTGCTGAATATGAGAGTTTCTGAAAACTAAATCTTCCTAACCATTTCCATTGCTGAGAGTCACTAGGCTCTTACCTGGTCATCGACATACTTTCACAAAGTGTCACGTAGGAACGTCTGTGCTGAATATGAGAGTTTCTGAAAACTAAATCTTCCTAACCATTTCCATTGCTGAGAACCACTAAGGTTCTTACCTGGTCATCCACATACCTTCACAAAGTATCACGTAGGTACGTCCGTGCTGAACATGGGAGTGAATATTGTTACAAGGTCTAAAGTGAATAATACGTCAATTCACTACTAGGTCTCTCAGAGATCGAATAAAATTATGCAAGTAAGTTGTCATATTATCTATACATCGTTAATCTTTGTCTACTATTTACGTAGTGCCATTGTAGTACGTCTGCTTTTGGTAGATGTCGCTAAATTTAAACAAAGTCTAAATAGTCAAGGTTACTGATCATAGTAGGAGCCTTAACCATCTGAGCTACCACGGCTTTGTTTATTAAGTATAATATATATATATATATATATATTTTTTTTTTTATATTTTTTATTTGGAAATTCGTCGTTCAAATAGATTTTCTACTGTTTATTAAAGATTTGTGTGTGTAGACAAAATTTTAAATTGAAACAGAACAGGTAAGAAAGTATTTTTTACAAATTAGAAATAAGTATGTTTTTTACACAACTCCCATTTAAAGCTGGATAATACGACTGTTTATTTTCTCGAACCTCGATAGAACTCTGCTTTGTACTATTCCAATAGAACTGTGAGTGCACGTCGTTCAAACATTATATATCATTATATAAAATGCAACGCTATTTAATTTCCGCTGATGTTGCGGTTTGAATTGAAATTTTGTCCAGCGTTTCACAGGCGCTATTTGCGAGTGTTTGCTCGCTGCCGTTTGTTTGTGCACCCGCTGTTTCATGGTCGTAATGCTAACAACTTTGGCAACATTAAATATTTGCAATTGTTTGTGTATGAAATTTTTAATTTTCTGTAGGTATCGTACTAAATATTATTTACTTGTGTTATTAAAACATATTAAGTTTCGGAATTGCTTTGCTATATATATATATATATATATATATATATATATATATATATATATATATATTTTTATGTCCTCCTCCAGACTGAATTTCGGCCACGGCGGCCTGTCTCAACGGAGGCTGGCCGTCGGCGCAGGACAGGATTATAGTGCCCAAGTGTATGCGCAAGCACAGGTGCACTCTATTCCTTCACTCTCGTAATCCGATGGGACGGTACACCGACACGACCAGTGGAGAGATCATGCGCAGAACCAACCGGCGTGACACCGCCAATTTCCTGACTCCGGGCAGCTACTGAGCATTTCTTGAGAGAAAAACTCAATAATTGATTTTTTTGGCCCGACCCGGCATTCAAACCCAGGGCCTCATGATCAGCAGTCGCACTACTACAACTACTAGACCAATGAGACTAAGATATATATTATAAATATATATGAAAGTGTCCCAAAGCATAGCATATTCTCAAAAAAAAAGAACTACTTTGATATATTCATCATATTATAACAACGCTCTAAATCGGGGTTTGTTAGACATTGTAACCTAAAGCTTTTCTTAAAGAATGTTCGCTACAATCTTAAAAACTATCGTTCAATTTAGAAACTACATTATTAGTCGGTGTTTTTAGTATATTTTGTTAAAATACAGTGTTCTTGATAAACATAAACTTCAAACTCTATACTAGTTTATTTTTAAACGGTATAAACTGACAACTTTGGCTACATCCCATTAAGAAATAATAATAAATATATTATTTTACTC